TGAGCACTACCTGCAGTAACTAATTTCCTGTGGTGTATTTCTCTCATTGCTTCGCAGACAGTAAATACAATTGACAGTTTGACTACCAGAAACAAGCGAGGGGGAAATAAAGCCCAATGAAAGGATAATGGATCTCTGGATTTTTGCAAGCACGTGTGTGGGTGTTGCAGATTTTGCTCAAGCATGTCATAGACGGGTTGGGGGCTGGATTACAAGATACTATTTTCAGAAAATAGGACAACCTGCCAAAACAGATAGCTTTTTTTTTTTTTTTTTTTTGCCTGTTTTTCACCACATCCTAGTAGAGGAATGGAGAAACACTAACCCCCATTGAGAATTTTTGGAGGCAGAACTTTATCTGTTATTTATTAATCCAGGCGCTGATCAAAGCCCAGGAGAGGAAATCTGTGCTGGTTCATCAATAATACTTGAGCACGTACTTGCCGTTAATTGCATGTTCTGTTGGTTTCAAGTCTAAGCCCTCTGTGCGTTGCTATAGGGGGAGGTTTTGTGAGTCAGACAAGTTTAGATCACTTTGTGCATACTCTCCTGCTTGGGCTCTTCTGTGTCTGCTGGTAGAGTGGGACATGGGACGAGACGGGTCTTTGGGGCGGTTGGCTCTGACCATTTTTGTGCTCAAGGATCATCAGGTGGACTCAGCTGCTTGAAAAAAAGAGGGGCTATAATTAAAAGCAAATCGTGGCTTGAATATTGGACTAAGGAAGTTCAGGAAGGGAAAGCAACTTCACATTTACATGGAGAGAGCACAGCTTCTGCTCCCCCACGCACATGTCACAGCTGTGGCTTTGTTCGGTGTGTCTGGCTTCATGTATTGTTTTCAGAGCAGGGGTAATTAGTGTCTGAAAACGTAGCTGCTCTTCGCTATTGTGGAACAATGTAAAAATCCTTTTTTTTCACTGTAAAACATTCCTGCCTTCTTTTGATCTTGTCAAGCTAGACAATAGAGCTGTCTTGTCATCATATTTCCCACGGCAACGGAAAGTTTGCCAAATGGTAGAAGAAATCTCAGAAGCCTTTAATTACTGTGACTTCATCAGTGAAACTTGACTGCCTTCGGTGGACTTGCTTCAGATTCAAGTGAATTTGAGGGAATTCAGACCTGGATGGCTTGGCAATGGCAGCTGTTGTTAGCAAACAGACCCAGCAGGCGAAGGGGATGGTGTTGGTAGCGATGAGCAGCAAGGCTGACCTTAGTGCTGCTCTGCTGAGTGTGGGGTGCAAGGTCACATTCCTGAGTCATCAGCTTTATTTCTTGATTAATAACAAGACTTAGCACAATACAGGGCAAAAAGCACTGTCCAGCTCATTTTTAGAGGAACTTGAGGGGGGAAAGGTTTTTCATTACTTTTTTCCCTAATTAGGTAAATTTATTACTGAAGTGTTCCTTATTTGCGTTGTCCATCAATCAGCGAAAATCACTTCTGCTAATGCAGCCCAACAGTATTGCTCAGATGTTAACAAAATGCAGAGGGTCACTCTCGGGGCTCCTGATTTTATTTAGGACATGGAGAGGCAAAGGTGAAATGCAGGGGTGGTGCTGGAGGTAAGAAAAGCAGCAGAAGGAAGACACTGGCCAAGGATGACTTGAAGGAAAAGGTGGGGTGTAAAGAATGAGAGATAAGAGAAGATGAAACAAGAATAAGTCACAAGGAAGTAAAAGGCCGAACAGGTAGAATTACATCAAAAGTGGGAGGCAGAGGTAGAGGCAGTTAATTTCTTGTGAGTCATCACCAAGCCACCCTGCCCCCAGAAAGGCTGACTCAGCAACATCGGTGGAAAAATCAGAGCTTTCTCTCTGAGATGCCATTCTAGATCAAAGAGGTTTCGATTAGTAAAACTGGATTTTCTCTCACTGATCCTCCCCTGCTTTAAAGAAACTTTTCAAATGCATCTTGTGAAGTCGGCATCCACCCTAACCACCCCAGGGCTTGGCTCACTCATCTCTCTTCGCTGCCACGTCTCCTCTTCCCAGGTCTGAGTCACGATCTATTTTGGGGCCCTTCGCACAACTGAGATCTTGGTTGTTTGGGCAGAGGTGAGGTGGCCACAAGAGGCACCAATTACTGCACATCCTCTTAAGAGGCTAGGGAAATCTAAAAAGAAAAGCAAGTGAATAAAAATAACTTGATGGAAGAAGGCTTCTGTGATCTGGTATCCCCGACAGATGCTTGGCCACAAAAGCCCTGCTGGGAAGATACGAGTGTGATGTTAATATGATATATGAACATTTTTTTTTTCTGTCTTATGATTCAGAACTAAGGTGCAGTCAGGAAAACAGGGAATAGAAAAGGAAAGTGGTCTCAGTTACTTTACCATGTTTCAGAAAGGCTGGTGGGTTGTTGGTGATTAGACTGGACGGGGCTGTGGTGACTGAGGCCAGTCGGAGGGGCAGGGGGTGGGCAGCAACTCCCAGTCTAAATCTTGTTAGAAACATTCCTTAAGTTATTTCATCTTTGATACGTGCAGGAGTTTGAACTGCTACTTGCAACACCATGCGTTGCCCGGTGTGCTATTTCAGGACTCCAGGGAAGAAGAAAAATGCTACCCTAAAGACATGTTTTACACAATAAAATGCACACAGAAGTGCCTTGTTCTTTTTTTTCCCCAAAGCAATTGGATTGTATTTAACGTAACTCGGCCCAGTTCCATAGTGCTTGTGCAAGTAATGTGAGGGCCAGAGCAATTCTCTAAAGCCTATTTGCAGTGTGAGGTGGTAACATAAAACCGTAGAGCTCCCACCATCACAGCAAAGCCTGGCTTTCCCGGGAGGGGCCGGAGCCTCCTCGCTGTGCTCAGCTGGAAAAGCAGATACCGCATCCTGCAGCGGGGCCCTTGAAGAAAGCAGCTGTGGTACCCGAGTGCGGCAGTTCGAACACAGCAAACACGGTTAATTATGTAAGAGCCAGAAAATGCTGCTTAAGCATTTGGTGGTTTGAGGGGGACAACCAACAACAGAACCCAACCAAACAAAAAACCACACAACCTTGAATGCCTCTGTGTTGTGTTGCAAAGTCTGGGCTGATCGGGGAGCCCTGGGTCTGCCAGTGGATGGGAGCACAGGGTGGTCCCCAGGTCTGGCTCTGCGATGACACCATCGCAGGTGTCCTGCCTGCCCCAGGCTGCAGACCCGCGGGCTGGGTGGAAGGTGGTGAAACCTGGCTTGAACCCAGCCTCGAGCCCTGAAGTAGAGATAAGGACCTGAGGAGGACCATGAGCACAGCCCCTCTGGCTGCACAGCATTGCATTCCCCTGGGGAAGGAGGGATGGGGTCAAGTTTCTTCCTGATCCAAAACTCCACAGAGGCTGCCACTGTTTTCAACGGGTTTTGAACTGGCTTCCCGGTTTCGTTCTGTGTCAATACAACACCCGAGCAGCTGGGCATGAGGAAAGCAGAGAAAGCTTTCTTTTCTGACCGTGCAAATCATGCCTTTCAAATCTTTCCGTAATCTTGGTGATGGGTAAAACAAACCCACTTTCTCTCCAGGCTGAAAAATTGGCGTGACAGGCACTAGGAAATCTTCCCTCCCCTTTCTTCTCCCCCTTTAGGAAAGAACAATAAGCCCTGACGAAAAGTGTGTATGCACTGATGCCAGGAAGCTTTGAAACCAACTCAGGAAACTGTCTGATCATAAGCATTAGAGTCTCTCTTGTGTGTTCAGTTTTCATCAGACTTTGCTGCGTTCACGTAGGGGAGGCGAGTCAGCCGCTGCTCATCTCCACAATCTAGGCAGACGCGTTTCTTGTTTTCATCCCACCACTACTATAGCGACAGAAGCTCAGGGAAGAAAATGCCTGAGGCAAACAACCGGCGTTATGCATCAACCGCTGATGAAAAGGTTCTGCCTACGCGTTCGGGTACATTTAGTTTGGACCAGGAAAAGCAAAAAGTCATGCAATCCTCTGACGTCCATTAATCCATCTTCTGTGATTTCTACTGCGGGTACTTTGTTTTCCTCTGGGGACCTAACTTTTTATTTAGCCATATATTCATGGCTGCTGCTGCCGTTGGCTCGCTGTTGCACACATTAATTGCCCTTGAGCAGAGGAATGTCTCCCAGAAGGCCTCATCCTTTCTCTGCACCAGATCATAACTTCTTTAATTGCTGCCGTTAACTTGCTGCTGGCTTCATCCCCTCCGCTCTCCCTGAGTGGAGCAGAACAGCGTGATCCTTCATGGGGCCCCATGTCCCCACTGATGCTAATCTGGGCTGTGCAAGGGGACTTGCCAAAGTACCCTCTCCAAGGATCCCCTTTCTCTTTGTGAATCAGAAATTAAAATTATTACAGCAAAAAAGGGTCTGGCGCGAGCTGCCAGACTGTACCACAGATCTATCAGCTTGGTCGCTGCTTGCAAACAGTGCATGAGTACAAGGTTAGGGCTTTGATTACTTAAACCAGGGCATGTGGACTGTTTCTTTGACCCGAGTTGCGTATTTCTGCTGCCACTTGGTTTTAAAAGCTTTTAATGTAGAGGCACTGTATGGCTCACAGTCCCATGGGCTAACAGCCACAGATAGCTGTGCACTAGGCAGTTTTACACAAGGAAGTCATGAGCTTCCAAACACAGGTATCCTGTGGCCTTAATATAGAGGATAAGACCTGTTTTCTGCTGCCTTGATTATAAGAATTCGAGAATCAAATCATTTCCTATCTTATCCTTTTTCAGTTGTTGCCATGGCAAAACCCCAGAGAGGAAGGGGGGGATTGTACCAAGACATTGGAACATCAACTTTTCTCTGAGATTGATTAAAACATGTGTTCAGGTCCTCAGTCTCACCTAGATGCTCACATGGAAGTAACCTCACGCGTATGAGCAGCTCTGAAGAGCACAGACTACTTATAGGGCCAGTTATTCAAGCAGGGGATCAATGTGCATCAGGAACGAGATAGGGAGGCAGAGCAAATGTATTTATTTCTTTATTCAGGTAACAGTTTCCTTTTTCTGTACTTCACCTGCTGCTCTTTGGGATGTTTTCCAGGTTGCATCAAGTGAATTTCGATGCTCCCACTTGTGAAGGTAAGCGCCGAGAGAAGCTGTCCTTGATAGGGGACTTCTCTTCTTCGGCGGAGTTCTTCGTCACCATTGCAGTCTTCGCCTTCCTCTACTCGCTGGCTGCCACCGTGGTTTATATCTTCTTCCAGAACAAGTACCGTGAAAACAATAGAGGCCCTCTAATTGTAAGTGTGCATTTGCAGCATTTTCAGGCATAGGTCTTAACCTCTTGCTTTTTTGGTGGCTGAGGCTGTGGCGTGGTCTGGGAGATCCAAATGGCCCAATGTCCAAAGCATCTCTGCATTCACCTGGGTTTTTTATCTTAATGGTGATTTAAACTTTTATCATCAAGGGTAACAGAGACTATGCAGGTGGAGTTTAGTCCTAATTTTGTATGTACTTGTGGGATTCCCTGCTTTGCCCCCACTGCCTGCAGTGATGATGTTCACACAAATAATGAATATGTTGCAGGATTGGGGTCCAAGCCATACATCTGTGACAACACAGCTTCATCAGTGGGGGAAAAAAGGGAAGAGGAGATCTTGGGCATCATCCTAACAGATAAATAAAACCATGTCCCTGACCAAAGCCTAGCCAGGGAGATTGCTTATTGCTAATTACTGCTGAGTTCAGCCAAATTATTTTCCTTTGGAGACTTATGTGGCTGGTTTTCCAGTATTACCTGAGCTCCCAGCTCGTTCGTGTCTCCATGCTGGTTTATGAGGCTCCTCACTTTCTAGTTATCATTCTATGCACCCGTCAAGCTGTGGCTGTTTGTGCCTTTATTTTTCTTTTTACTGATTCCTCAAGGCTTGTGATAAAAAGCAAGTGCTGCTGTGCATTTGCTTTCTCATAAATCAAGACTGTGAAGCCAGCGAGAGCTATTTTGTTCAAGGTGTCCGTGCATCCCGCCCTGTGAGATACCCCTTGGTCTTGCTAGGCTGTGAAGGGCTGTGTGCTGATCCTCCGCTGCGATGAAGTTGGGTCAGGTCTCGGCACCTGCGGGCCGTAGGGCTGTGGCACACTCTCCCTTCCATGAGCAACTCTCTCCTCCGTGACTGCAAGGATAAGGTTATGCTAAGGTAGAGGAAGTATAAGTCTTGGTCTGAGGAGAGCAATTCAAAGGGAAGGCAGGGGGAGTTTAGTGAGGACTGACGTAAGGAATGAGTTAGTTTTGGATTTCAGAAAAATCTAAAGTTTTATGACTGACAGAAACCTGACATTTGGCTGAGACTTGTCCTTAAGTGACTGAAAGCCACCACTAAAGAGCATCAGAAAAATATAACAGAAAGGAAAATAAATCACCAGCACAGAAAGGCTGTACCTGTTACAGGAAACAACTACAGTAATGGTAAGCAAAAGATTAAACTGTAGGAAGGTAATCTTAGCATCACAGGGTTTTGAGGGAAAGATTTTCCTGCTGCAAGGAGATGTGAGTTGTTTTATTTAAGTTTGCATAATTCAGAACTGATGAATTGTTACAGAAGGAAAAATTCTCGTTCCACATCAAAGGAAATGAATCTTCTTTATTTGGGAAGAATGGGACCTTTCATCTCTCCCTAGAAAACAGTGAGGAAAGGAAGGGAAATCTTCACAGAGGAGAGGTAGAACAGGCAAGATAAAGGGGTCCCTACAGAAACAGTAAATAAATAAAGTGCCTTGCTTCTGCTTGATTCAGTTGATATCAAGTAATATCTCATTTCAAACTGTCTCATTGAAGAATTAGTTGCAGAGATCTGCCATTTTCATTTTCTTGCAGGAAATAATTCTTTCTTCTGACCAACCACATTATCCTGTGTAGCAATAGAAAAAGGAAAGAGGAAAAATAATACTAACACGTCAGATTATGATGAGGCCGTTTGCCATTTTCCAGGACTTTCTTGATACAGCTGCTGCAGTCATGTTTGTCAGAGGATACACGGTGCAATCCACTACAGCATTAACGTGGCATTGATTTAATTTGTTCTATGTAATGGATTGTAATTTAATCTACAGGTTAAATTTAAGCAGTCTGTTACCAAACCTTCTGGTTGCAATTTCCCAGTCTTTAAACCAAGCCTAAATGAGCTTATTTTTTCAGAATATAAAGATGCTTCTGAGTTTGTCCTACAGCAAAAGCAGCTCCTGCCAGTGAGTGGTGTTGGGAAGTGGCTGAGGGTTAACGCTCAGCTTACGCCTGCCAGGAGGGGAGTCCCATCGGCCCCAGCCACCTGCTCCAGCATCTCCTTTGCACTGCCAGCTCTGTTGTGTTGGCTATTTTTAGAAAAAAGACGCTTTTTCACCTGGACCTCATCCTTGCTGGTGTCTCCGGAGGCTGCCCAGTGCAATGATTGCAGCACCACAGCCTGACTGGGACAGGGTGTGAGTCCTGCTGTGCAGTGGAGGTGTAGGGGAAAGGCAGAGCCCCAGGCAGAGAAAAAGCAAGCAGCTGTAGCCGAGAGGAATTCAAAGGTCAAGGGAAACTCAGAACGAAAACCAGCTTCCCACGGCTGCAGGGCTCACCTAAGGGATGTGACACATTGCGCAAAGGAGGCAGGCGACGCATCTTCCAGCTCCAGGCAGATGCTACGCTGAACTGACGTACCCAGCAAGATCACACATAGATCAGATCGGATGTGTGAGTATGTCTCATCCCTGAGATTGTTCCTCCCAAAGAAAAGCGCTGCAGAAATCTGTGAGGTGCTTTGTGCACGCCTGAGTCCAGCCAGCGGTCCCCAGCACGTGTCGGTGCAGGAGGCAGGGCAGCCCTCACTCCTTCTTCTTCATCAGGTGGGATCTGTGTGCCAGGCATCGTTTCCAGACTACCAGTTCTCTACCTCTTAGTGAAGAGTTAGAAGATGATAGTTTCATCTGTCCTTGCTTCTGCTGCAGTGCCTGATCACCATTTCGTATTTAAAACCATTCCCATTTTAAGCCTTGTACTTCCTTTTGGCTTGATATTTGCTCAGTCTGGGGTGACATCTGCCTTTAAGCAGCACCCTCTCAGAGCTGGCTGCCTTTCCTCCTGATAAATTTTCAGGCTTTGAAAAATGAGTATGACAGGAGAAGCGGAGAGAGGGAAAAAAACTTTCACTTGAAATTTTAAAATATTTTTTCAAAAAACCTTTGCACAGCCAGTCAGAGCACCATCAATACATTACCAACTCACAGCGGCCTGACTGGATGCAGAAGATATGATTATAAAGAATTTAATGACCGCTAAGTCACGAGAAACTCGCAGAGAAAATTTCAGTCACAAATGTTTCAAGTTTACCTTGTTTATACAGATATAGGGAAACCCAACTGCATGTGCTGAGATCTCAGCGAAGCATCACTTTAACTGTGGAAAAATATTTTAACGTTCAGTGTGAAGTGAGACATCATGGCAAGGAAATATTTCCAGTAGGAGAAGCCATTAACTCCTTCCATGGCTCTTTGGCTGGCACTGGCATATCTTATTCAGTGCGCAGTGAGCCGTGTCTGTTGCTAACATCGCCTGTCCCGTTTTGGGGATAAAAATCTTCGTTTTGCTCACACAGGGCCCCAGTTGTGTTACTCATCCGTGATGGAGGTGGGAGTCAGCCCTTCCCACAGGGCTGTCAGCAGGGAGCCCTTGCCGTGTGTGCCCTCCGCCTGCACCACTGGCTCCACGGAGAGATCATGTCGGGGGGAGCTTCATACTGGATAGACAAACCTAAGAGAGGACCTTGGATTCCCCATTCCTAAAGGATGAAGGAGCAGTTTACCAGGGATTAAATACCTAATAGATATGTGCAGTGTGTCTCTGAACTCTGCAAACTGCAGCTGTGAATTTAATTTCGTTGCAAACTCCCGCCTGATGCACGTGTACGCCTCGGTTACAACAAGTCCAAGCCAGTTTCTCAAATGACTGATTAGTGCTCAAGAGCCAGAAACATTTTAAAGAAATTAATTGGAGACGGTGACTTAGATTTTAATGAATGCGATGTACAGAATCTCACCAGTTTTCAGTATATCTGCATCTCTCGGACCAACCTAAGCTGGTTTCCACTGGTGTAACCCCTCGTACCCTGGGGAGGCATTGCTGGTTTGCAGTGAGAGCAGAGATGAGCTGCACCCTGGGGCTGCCACCCCAAGCACCTCTGTCCTGGTGCCCTGCTTCAGACCTATACGTTTACAGCTGCTTGCAAGCAGAGAGTAACCGAACCAACAGTTTGTCCTGTGCTGAAGTGTTAGGGGATAAAGGGTAGATGCTTCCATATACCTCTGGAGTAGGAAAATAAAGGAAAGAATAGTCACGGTCGATCAATACCCATCACTCAGAATTCTTACTTTTTCCATAGTTTCTAATACCTCATACGTACTCCATTTAAAACGCACACTGACAACTCTTGTCTTTATGGACTTTCAGGCTTGTCTTTTGGAAGTTATAGATTGGCCATGAAAAACCACATGCATTCATGTATAAATGTAAATCACTTTATTAGTATTACAATCAATTAATATAGAAGCATAAAATTATTTAGGCAAGAAAAGTGACTGACATAGCCCTGAAAAGAGATACTTCATTTTTATAGTGATTACTTGATAATCTCATTCTTACAGTGCATAAAGATGCTTACATGTAAGAAGATGAGATCTTTCCCTTGCATCTGGAGTCCTGTGAATAATCACATTAAGCGGAAAGGCATTTAGTTCTTTACATATGTTGTGGACCAAGTGTGTTAAGTACACTCCTAGTCTGCTCTTTGGAGATGTCTTTGATTATATGGTTTTTTTCCTCCCCTTTGTCCAGTTTTCTAGAAAATGGATAGGAAAAGAATAAAGAGCCATCTGTAAAAACAAAGACTGAATCCTTTGCAGTTAAAAAATGAAATTATGAATAACCTGAATAATTCTTTGCATATCAAAGAGCTCTTTCAGCCCGCTGTTGTCATCTCCCTTTTGAAACACAAGCCATGGTGACCTTGCTGTACATGCTGGTGCCTCCCAAAGGTCTCTACATGTCCCTGCCAGAAGCAAGCTTGCCAGGCTGTACACCACTGCAAGAAGCGTGTAATTCTTTCAAAGCTTCATTTGGCAGAAAAATCTGGGTTGGGACCTTGTTCAAGTGAAAAAAGATCTAAAATGTCACTGTAGGAAGGTGTTTGCTGCCTGCAACAACCTGCTGTTGGCCACTTTTCCAGGCTAGGGCCAGGACTATGGCTTTTGCTGGAGCGGTTCTTGAGTTTTTAGGTCGGTTGTGACTGTGGCAGCAAATCCTCTGAGCGGTTTGCCCCTGCTGGGGTAAAGAAATCTCCCTCTGCTCTCGCGTGGCTGTCCATGAAACCTGTTGGCAGTGCTGCCGGGCTAGGCAGGCTCCGGCTGGGGGGGTTTATAGGCTTCGGCGTTTGAGGAGTTGCTCCCTTGTATGCTGTAAATGTACGAGAGGGTTTTGTCAAATGAAAAGGTTTTGTAGCGCGAGCGTTAGCGGATGGAAACGCTTGCGGAGAGGCACGGAAAGCCCCGTGTGGAAGCCAGTGACAGGGCCAGCAGCTGCGGTTCAACGAGGGAGGAGGGAGCGCGAGCGCGGCAGGGATGCCAGGCACCCTCCGGCTAGGCCAGAGCTGAGGTTTTACATGTTTTCAAACATAACAGCCCAGGGCTGTCCTGCCAAACTTGGACCACGTCGGCCGGGAGGGAGAGCAGGGCACAGAGTGCGCGTGGGGACATGTGCGTTACGGTGCTCCGGGGGGTGCTGAAGCCACTGATCCGCTCGGAGCAGACGAAACTCGTCCCCTTTCCAAGTGGACAAGCAGCTTCTGCAGATGCTTTTGGCTGGGGGAGATTATGCTGGACGCTGGGGGATCCGAAACTGTGCTCGGGAGACTTAAGTGACTGTAAGTGACTGCCCCCTCCACAGACAGGCATTTTGCAAAAGCCAGTAGCTTCATAGCAAGGAGAAACGTTTCAGTTACCGTGAAAAGAAAAGGCATTCACAGTTCTGTTCTAAAACATATAATGTATAAAATTGTTCCAAGTAGGCTTTTTTTGGCAAACTCAGTAATAGCAAGTTTCAACTTGAAAAAGGCAGCAAGAATTTTTTTTTCCTGTTACACATACTTCAGGCTCTTAAAAACTCCCTCCTTGGATATTCAGCATATTTTAAATCTTGTTTTCTGCTTTCTCCTACACTTTCCTATTTTGCCTCCTTCCCAAAGGCACCTGTAGGCAGACCAAAGTATCTCAGCTGAGATCTGAGAAAGAAACTTTGCAATTAGGAGTGTAGCGTAACCATACAACAATACACACCGAAGAGATCTGTAGGCACCATTTCAAGAGAGCAACTACCAAAATTACTTTGTTCCAAAGGAAAAAAAAAACAACCACCCATGCTATGGGGATATTAAACATTCAAATGCAAGATTTGTTTTAGTATGCAGACACTCTGGCTTTAATTACTAAGGAGAAATTCCCCAGATAGGCATTAAGCCACAGAACAGCTTAGCTTGAAATTCACTTTTATTTTCAGCATGTCATTATCTTGTAACTCTGTTCCACCCAGAGCTGTGAAAATGTTCAGCCAGAAATCCAAACCCACTTGAAAACAAGAGAGGTTCAAGTTCCAGCCAAAGAGGAAGGTTAGCAAAGATTCAAAATAAATAGGAAGACGCAAGTTTGCTCTAGTCGTGTATTTTGCTCCTGCACGGCGCAGAGGAGACGGAACAAATCTTCCAAGAGCCCGAGTCTGGCCATGTAGCCTTGGTGAGAGCACCTGCTGAAAAAATCCTGATGTTTCATTAGCCTTTCTCTTCTATCTTCTTGACAAGCTGCTGGCTGGCTGGCAAACGGGCTGCATCGTTTCTTCTCCGAGTCCCACCGTGCGATCTTTCCCTTTTGGCTCAGTGTGTTTCTTGCGCCCAGCCAGACTTTACAGTTTTGGGGAGTTCCTGTATAAAAGGACTGATCCCAGCCCCCCCCAGGAGCAGGGACCCTTTCCCCAAGGCTCTGATCTGCTCTCAAATAGAGGAATTCGTGGCAGAGAGGGCAGGATCGGGCAGGGTTAGGCTTGGGTGGACACCCTGGTGCAGGGGAGCAGAGGACGTCAGCAGAAGCCTGGAGGATGGGGTGAGATGGAGAAGACAAGACCTGAGAAATAACATGAAATACATAGTCCCTTTAGGACCAACCAATTTTGGTCAGTTTGTCTCTGTTTTCTTCAAATTTCTACCTGCTGTTACGCATGTATTTTATTGCTATTGCCACCGCGCTGATTGCAGAGTCTAAAAGTGTGGTGGCATTGAGAGAGAATTTCTTGTCATTTAAAAAATGTATTCCCCAAAACTCTGGTGTGTCCCCATCTATTGTGTCAATCGGAACCTATATGGGGGCTTGGCATCCAGGTAGATAACACGTCAAGCCTTATAGCAAATAAAGAGCATATCCCATCCATCGTAATCCACAGCTCAGTGAATATCTGGTGTTTCTACCAGCTGGAATTTTTAAGAAATGTTTGCATTTGAACTTTTGCCTCTAGGAGTTCGTTTCTCATTCAGTTACTGCTAGGACATATAAGATACAATAATTTCTTTTGCTGGAAATCTCCCTGAGAAGAAAAATTACTCTGGGCTATATGCCTCTGCCTACCCAGAGTCTCTTTGGGTGTTAAGATCGTTGTCAACTCCTGGGCTTCACGCTCTTCAAGAGAGCCCATTTGGGCAGCACGAAGGGAGATCAGGGGAGCTCAAAGCTTGGTGGCAGACACAGGCCTGCAGAAAACAAATCGTGGCACTGTTAAAAGAGAAGGATGTGTCCTTTGGGAACGCATCCAAGCACAGTTAATTTAATCCCATCTGCGTGAGCGGAGAAATCCTTTGTTCATGGCTCACTTGTGCGGCTGGTTTATTGACTGGTGCCTCTTCCGTCGTGACGGGGGCTCGCGTCCTCCGTCCTTGCGGTGCCGCAGAGAGCTCCTTCCCCAAATGTCAGGTGTGCTCGTAGAAGGTGAGAATGATGTTTCCTAGGGATCACTTATTTCTTTGGATAGCGACCCAAAACGCTGTGTTCTTAATGAACGTTTTCTCTTTCTTCCATGTACACCTTTACTTTGTAAGGGGGAAGGGGAAGGAGCCCCCATGGGAGGTGGGATATCAAGACGCAGCGATGCAGTTAGTGGTATGTTAGACTTTGGCACCTCTACCATCTGTTGGGGGCTGACAGATGGGATGAAATCTGACAGCAGAAAGGCTCTTCTGTTTTAGCAAGACACAAGAAAGCTTGAAAAATCACACCTCCTCCCTCCTTTCCCCCCAAACCCACACAACAACAGTGTCACTTGGCCACTTGTTCTGGCTAAGACAAGGAGAAGTTTATGCCTGTGTGTGCTCCTGAGAGTCTTTCGAGGGAAAAGTGAGCAGAGTGGTTCAGAGCAGAGCTGCTCGGAGGCGCTGGATCCCGGAGGGACCGCCACCCCTTCTCCCCTCTCTTCACATGGATGGCAATTAGGAGCAAATGCTTTACCAGGACAGAGAGGAGCTGAGGAGTCTCTGTGCTTGGCAAGTCTTGCTGTTTATTTGTTCGCTCGTGATAATTAGTGGCTGCACGGCTCATGCAGCAGGGACATTTGGCCTTACCTGTAGCTGGTGAGAAAACTCCTCATCTGGTAGCTGAGGATTAGCCAGTTTCAGGTTCTCCCTGAGATGCTGCCGCAGATGGAAACGCTTCGTGTCGGAAACCCACCCCGGCTGTCCGTAGGAGCACCCGGGGCGAGAGCCAGCCCTCAGGAGGGCCCAGCTCCTTTCCCAGCATCTATATTTTTTAATTGATCCCAATTCATCAGCCAGGTGCTGTGAACAGCCACGTTTCCAAGGCAGCTCAGTATCCTGGGTACCGGCCACACGCTTGTGGGAATCTGGCCTTGAGGTTGGAGATGCAAATGGCAGCTGAAGGGCTCTGGCCCATTAGGCACATCAAGAAATTAGCTGAAAATTAACTCCTGAAAATTAGCTCTGTAGGTGATGACAGTAATCGCAACCTTCCATGAAGTAACAAGCTCTTGTTTTTTCCCTCCTCTGATGCAAACTTTCAGTTTTGCGGTAATTTTTAATACTTTTTCTTCCTAATGGACACACCAGTATAATGCTTCTAACTAATTTGTCTTTTAGGATTTCATTGTGACAGTGGTCTTCTCATTCTTGTGGCTAGTGAGCTCATCTGCTTGGGCTAAAGGACTGTCAGATGTAAAGATTGCGACTGACCCAGACGAAGTGCTGTTACTGATGTCTGCCTGCAAACAGCAGTCCAACAAATGCTTGCCTGTTCGCAGCCCTGTTATGTCAAGCCTCAACACTTCGGTTGTAAGTGACTTTGATTATTCTTTTCACCCTTACCTTGCAAACGTATTTTCATCTCTCTTACCCGTGTATTGACCTAAATCGGCTGGTGTAAACCAGTTAGCTGAAGTTATTTAATTGGAAGTACAGTCTTGCTGCGGGGAAAGGCAGAGCGTGACTCACGACGGCTATCTGCTGTGGAGCAGCAGCGGGATGAGCGTGTAGGGCTGGGATGGGGAGAAAGCAAAGTGGCTGTCCAAGTGCATTGGTTGGCCTGTCTGCTTTTAACTTGCTCGCTGCAACGCTTTTGAAAACGGGTCTGTGCGCTCCTTTAGGAAGAAAAGGGTTTGCGCCTTACAGATGCCTTTAAAAATCCTCAAAAAAACCAACATAAAATTGGTCTTCAGAAAGTTTTAAAAAAAAAAAAAAAAAGAAACCGTCCAGGCCAGCTGACCAATTAGTATCTCTCTTTTTAATTATTTTCTTTCAATTTTATCTTTCCACAGTTTCTTTAAACTAGATTATGTATTCGAACAAAAAAATTATTTTGGCCTAAAACCTCAACTTTTTTTGGAGACAAAAAGGAAAGCAAACACCTTGTGAGCTAAAGGAGGTGAATTTGGGAATTTGCTCCAAAGCTGAGAAAATTTTCCAGCAGGTTTGGGGAGAAGGATGGGCTGGGAGTCGCTTTGACTTTCCCAGGACCCTTCAGGGTCCATAAGGTTAGGCTGGGCTGTGAGACCGCGGCTGCCGGGTGACGAGCTCCTCTTCTCCCCCACTAGGTCTTTGGCTTCTTGAACTTTATCCTCTGGGCAGGCAACATTTGGTTTGTGTTTAAGGAGACGGGCTGGCATTCCTCGGGCCAGCGGCACCCTCCGGACACCATGGAGAAGCAGCCCAGCAGCTACAACCAAGGTGGCTACAACCAAGACAGCTATGGGCCGGCCGGTGGCTACAACCAGCCGGGCTCCTATGGCCAGGTGGGTGAATACGGCCAGTCCCAGAGCTACGGCCAGAGCGGGCCAACCTCCTTCGCTAATCAAATTTAGGGTTCACGCAGCACGAGCTCTTGCATCCCTCACATGTAGAGAGTTTAACACGTCTCAAGTTTCAGTGGTGCCAGATTTTTAAGGGTTTTACATAAATTAATACTACAACACGGTGTTTAGTGTCGATCGAAGATCTAAGCCTACCTCCTGAGGCAGATGGGAGGTGGCCGGTGGGCTGGAGTTGGCCTTTTTTTTTCCCTGACTAGCCAGATACGGCGGATATGCTCATCGCAGGTGGTGACCTGGAGTCAGTGTTGTAGTATGTACTGTAGAGATAACTTTATGGTAGTTTTGTATGTGTCGAGATGGTAGAAGCATTTTGTAGCCTCAAGTCTGTAGTATTTAATATGCATAATATAACTGAATTTCCTTCTGCATTTTGGTGAAAAACGAAAGTGGTTTACTATTATTTCTACAGATTATTCTGTATATCCATGCATGTAACATTGCACCTAAATTTTCAAAACTGCCTGTCTGTGACTCTTCAGAGCATTTGTTTTGGTTATACCTTTTTGTTTCAGAAGACTTTACTATTATTTCAGTTAACTGAGTCATCCGTAATTTAGTGCATGGATAAGCAGTTTCATACTACCAAATGTCTGGACTGTGTAAATGGAACTTCTCAACTTCTGCCACTACATTTTGTTAACTGTATGTTTAAAAGAAGTATGCATCTTTTATATATTTTGCAGAGTTGAATATATGGCTTACCCAAGTTCTGAATGCTTTGTAACTAAAATGTTTTTCCTTGAAATGGCATTCAGTAGTATATATGGTACCTGACCAATGTTTATTCCATTTAACTCAGCTAAGTATTCATTCTATAAATCACTATTTCTATGGATGTTTTGTGAATCTTTTAACGTGAGCTGTGGAGAATAAGGACCAAGTAACTGTGTTATATGTTTACAAAGGTATTTATTTAACTAAGATAACAGAGGTGCAGATATCAGTATACAAAACCATGTGAAAATCCCCAGTTGCTTGATACAGCAAAACATGAAACCTGCATGTATTGTTGTGAACTTACAAAGCATAAATATTCCTTTATACCCTCTTATAGTAAGAAAACCTTTCCATCCATGCTGTTTCAAGATTGTTCGATATCCCTCTGTTCTGTCACTGCTCTGAGCGCTAGCTTGGTGCTACCGGAGAATGTAACTGGATTGACCAAATAACCCAGGCTCAGAGGAACTCATCCTAAAATAGCCAGAGCCAGACTTGTAGCCTGTTTGGGTTTCTCCCTGGGAAATTCAGCCCTTCCTCACTACAGCATATGGGATGCATTGACACAAATGAAAGCCTGAAGCACAATATACTAATCAAAACTGATCATCTGCATTTCTAAATCAAAGTGTATCAGTATATAATCTTATTGTATGAGCTGTAATGTTGAAAGCATCTTAGCTTAAAACAGCTTAGTCTCTTCTATGATTGTTGTAACCAATTTATGGCTACTCGGTGGATGAATCTATATTGTGATATCTATTTGATCCTAATAAAGTTATTGCATACAATGCATGTTTTCAGAGTATGTTAATATTAAAATGTCACTGCAAAATAACTAAGATAACTATTAAAGATAAATAACTATTCCTGTGCTTGACCTTACTGGTCGTTCATACATAACAGTTAACAATAACGGTTATTCTTATTGTTTTCTAACACTTTTATGAGGATTGTTCTAATGTACAGTGGAGTACGACACTTCTACAGACATTTGTCATTAAAGGTCAGTATCACAAGTTTAAAAAAAAAAAAAAAAATTAAAACTCTGCAATGTAATACCTGCCTGCCTCTTCACCTCTCTTTCTACCTGTCAGTAGGACTAGCCCAGTACTGTGCTAACTATCCCAGTTCTGTGCTAACTATCCCAGTTCTGTGGATTGCTGGAAAGCCATGTTTGAGCTGTAGAGAGGACAAACCAGAATATCTAAATGGCCTAGTATTCCAAATGGGAGCAGAATACAATTTTCTGGGTCAATGAAAAATTTTATTTTGGCTCTCAGTTCTTTTGTTCCTTGCTTTTTTAAGTTTGGAAAAAGTTAGATATAGGCAAGCCAGGAGAAAGTGAAATATGTGTGTGTGGCAAGGGATGGGATGTATGCTCTTCATGCCCCCTTCCACATAGTCCAACTACTTCTTTTTTTTTTTTTTCTGAAAAAAATCCGCGATGTCTTAGTTGATCACGAATGTCCCAGGTTGGTTTATCTAAGCCTCTCCACTAGAAATAGAGTTTTTTGTGTCAACTAGCTTTCTCTTCATGAACTTTTCCACCCAGACCAGAAGGGTCCAAACTTTTCTATCCAATGCTGAGGGTTAGAAACTTGAGTTTTGCTTAGGTTTATTCCTGCATTTCAAACAAGCTAAAATTCCTGTGTAACCATGCGAGCACAGGAACTGCAGCTTTCAAACCCTCAGGAGCTGACACCCCAGGACAAAGGGCAATTTCGAATACAAGATTGGGGACAGAATTAAGATGGTGACTTATTTTGCGTATTATGTGCGTAACTCCAAATCTAAGATTTTCTCATGAAGGGCAGAGCTGGTGGAAGAGTTGACAAAAGTAGTGAAAAAGGCACATGTTTTCATGCAAGACTTGTCCTTTGCTTTACCCAGTTGGCCAGATCTTCACAGGTACATTAGCTCCTTGCTGCCATGCAGGACAGTTGAGCTGGTTGTTGTTGTCTGGGAACTATAGTCTTCACTGTGAATTAGGAGGGATGAAAAATCTCTTTATCTATAGCTTCTCAGATTAATATAGATAGTATGGCAGCAGTAAAAGTGAAAACAAAAAGGATGCATGCACTTGCCTGTGTTATGTAAGAAAATGTTTCCTCTGGATTCGAGTCTTATCACATCCTTTGGCAATCATTGACAAATTTGAAGTTGATTTGAACTGGGAATAGCGACTGTATAGCAAAGTGTTGAGCAGCAAGATGGAAAAGACTGTATTTGATGTTTTAAGACAAATAGCTAAGTAAACTCGAGCATCCTCTGTGAAACTGCTGCTGACAGCCCGATTGCTTTCCTACTTCATCATTAGTGAGTATCTCTGCCAGTTAGTTAAATAACTAGGTCAGCCTGGGAAAAAACATGTTCCTTGATCTTCTGTGCTGTCCCTCCTGCTTTCCCATGTGTTTCTCTTTATAGCCCATTTCTCAGCTACCCAAGATGGGAGCGCATCTGCATTACGAAGTGTAGAGCTGTGGAGGAGAGGCA